TTTATGTTCGATAGAAGCGTTAAAGATGTCGTTAGAAAATTCAATGAGAACCACTGGCTTTGTACGGAGGTTGCGCACAGAAGTTTTAGAAAGATTTATTAAATTGATAGTACATAACCGTGGAACTTTTGAATTTACGTTATTTTTAATTGAAAGTTTAATAAAAATTTGCAATAAAAGAATAATAAATGAGATTTTTGTTTTACTTTGCCCGAAACGTATGAATTTTTCATAAATGTTTTAATAATTGAAAAAATTTATTTAACGAAGTACTTACGATGATGCTTTTAAAAAAATATCAGAATCGTGTGCAAATGAATATGTAATCTTATTTATACCTACGCCATGATCGTTCTTTCTTGTTTTTCAAATAAAACTCTTAAGTGTTTGATCGAGTCTGATGCCATGTCATGTTGACGTCACTAAATGTACATTGTTTAATCTTTAAAATCATATCAAATATCTCGAATATACTAATTTATTAATTTAACGAGCAATATCTTTTTCATAGTTTACAAAATATATCTTGGCATCACTTTACAAAAAAAATTTTCGTTTGTTTGACACATTCGTCTCTTACCACTGTTTTTTGTCCTTTTTTCTTTTTCTTTTATATATATATATCCTTTTATGTATATACGTATGTATGTATGTATGTATGTATGTATGTATGTATGTATGTATGTATGTATGTATGTATGTATGTATGTATGTATGTATGTATGTATGTATGTATGTATGTATGTATGTATGTATGTATGTATGTATGTATGTATATATGTATGTATATATATATATATATATGTATATATATATATATATAATAAATAAATTTTATGAACGTTTAGTTGTACAATTAATCCCTCGAACGCGTTAAATTCGATCAGTCAAGACGAGACTATGTAAATAATTTTTTAATCACCAATCCGCAAATTTCTTGACGGCTTTCGAATACAAAAATATGTTCATAATTTTAGCAAGAAAGAGAGAGAGAGAGAGAGAGAGAGAGAGAGAGAGAGAGAGAGAGGAAGAGAGAGAGAGAGAGAGAGAGAGAGAGAGAGAGAGAAAGAGAAAGAGAAAAAGAGAGAAGGAACTCCTATATCCGAACTTTTTCTTCGATAATGTTCTTGTATAAATCATCTGTCAGTTTCACGTACATGCCCGTCCGATCGAGGAAGTAAATTGGATCTACCAACTACATGAGAATTAAATTAAATAAATAAAATTTCGTAAGGTTGATTATTAAAAAAATAATCAATTCGATTTTTACCTTTGTAATATCGTAACCTTCACGTTGAAGATCCTTCTTCTTCAATTTATATGTACCTATAAGAACGACGTTAACTATATAGAAAAATATCTTGAACAAAGTTTTAGACAGATTTAGTCATTAAAGTTTACCAGTCATGGGTAGTTTCGAGAGAACACGAATGAAAAGTGGTCGAGCATAAGTAGGAAGAACCTTCTTTACACCTTCAGCTAATTCCTTTAAATTTAAAGTTCCTTCTGGATCATAAATAGCACCCATGCCAGCCTTACCTTCGTTTCCAGGTACCTGTCAACAATAATGTCTCATTAGAAAATATTACAACAAATGATTGTAAACTCAATACAAAAGTTTATATTATGTTGTTTGTTTTATTGATAAAAATTAATTCATGTTCGTTGAATAAACCTTTAAAAAGTTACTCTATAAAACTTTTAAGAAATGTTTTGAAACAATATTATTATTTGCTAATTAATAAATATTAAAACGGAATTAATATAAAAACTATATTATTATGAATTATACAAATACATGTAGTTAAGTGTTAATAAGGAAAAATAGATGACTCACTTCGACACCATAAACGACTGTATCCATGAGACCTATGACATTACTAACAACAGCCTCGACTTCAGAAGTGGCCACGTTTTCTCCACGCCACCTAAAAGAGAAAATTATTTGAGAAGTTAATATGATAAATCAAACTAAAAGATAAACATTGAAAATAAATACCTGAATGTATCACCGGTTCTATCCTTGAAGTAGAAGTATCCCAATTCATCCATAACCAAAATGTCACCTGTTCGAAAAACGCGGTTAAGTCATGGCGCGGTGAGTTCTCAATTCGTAGTACAAAATGATCGCTTTTTTTTTTTTTATTTTTGTCTTATGATTTCAACCGACCAGTATTGAAGACACGATCACCCTTCTTGAAGACGTCACGTATGATCTTCTGCTCCGATGCCTTCTGATCGGCGTAACCACTGAAATCGTTCACAGCCTTCCCTGGATTAATTTTTCCAACGAAGATACCGGGCTCTCCTGAATAATTAAAAACAAAAAAAGAAACAAAAAAATAGTTAGTCCTTTTAATCAATTATGAACTTAAGAAAATTGTTTTCAAAATATATAAGTAGAGTAAAAAAAGAAACTATGTCCTAATGTTACTTCTTAATTATGATCAGAATTTAAATAAAATCAGATAAATATTCAGATAGCAATTTGATATATGTTAAACTTTTTAATATTCATATCGTATTTAATCATTCATATAATAATTAATAATTCATATAATATTAAATATCATATGATATCATCGATTTTTTAATTAAACAAAAAAATATTATATTATTATTAACATACCAGGTTTACAAGGAATGCAAAAACCTTCAGGTCCTCTAATCGGTTCTCCGGTTTCTTCATTGACTCTTAATAAAGTGACTGGATAGAGATTGCCGGCGAACCTTGGCACAAATCCAACTGCACCGACTCTATTATCGATGTTCACTACGATGTAAACAGGTATAATGAACACAGTACGTCTAATTATCCGTTGAATCATTTCACATTAGATTCATTGGGAAAAAGAAAAAAAAAAAGAAAAAGAAAAAATAGAAAATAAATTACCAAGATTCGAGTTTCCTTCGGTAGCACCATAAAATTCACCGATTTGTTTAACGCCAAATCTCTCGACGAAGGGCTTCCAAATTTGTGGCCTTAAACCATTACCATACATGAGTCTTACTTTGTGACTTGTGTCATATGAACTCGGTGGAACGGTCAAAAGATATCGGCAAATTTCTCCGATGTACTGAGCTATCTAAAATAAAAATGAAAAATATTGAATTGTTCAGTATTATGTGTGCATATATAATTCAATAAAAATAAATACAAATGATATTTACTATATATATATATATATATATATATATATATATATATATATAAAATATTGAAAATTTCAATATTACTTATTGATTGATAAAAAATTAATATGTATATATTAATAAAACTAATAAACTAATGTGTTAAAGAAAGATTAAACATTTGATATCGATAAAAAATATACAATACTTACAGTACATTCATAGTGAACGCAATCGGACCAAAATTTCGAGGCACTGAAACGTCTACGAAGAACAACGGTTATTCCTGTGAGCAATGGTTGACCAGCTCCTATTATACCTCCAGCCGTGTGATAGAGAGGTAAAGAATTATAAATTCGATCGTCTGAACGTAGAGCCAACATGGAGTATACGCCATAAGCCATTAACATATACCTGAAGAAATACAATTGTTCTATGATATTATTTATTTTAACGAGGAAATATTTTGTTATACATTTAACGTACCTAAGATTATTGATAACAGCTGCCTTTGGCATTCCAGTCGTACCAGACGTATAAATGTATATCAATTTGTCTCGTGGATTACCTAAAGCAATATCTTCGACAAGAGGTCCTGGATCTACACTGAGAATTTCTTTGTTTAGGTCGATTGCTTCCTCTAATATAGACACATCTTCGTGTTCTGACCATTGAAACAGCTTTAGTTCCGGTAATTTGTCTTTTATATCACGTACCGCTGAAAAAAAAAATAAATAAATAAATAAAAATAAAAATAAAAATAAAAATAAAGGGTCGATTGTACTTATCAAAATTGTTCAAGCTTTACAATATTTTAAAAATTGCTTTTCTCTTCTTGGAATATATCCCTTAAGATTATGCCAATTTTAAAATGTATTTTGTGTACCTAATCAAATACAATAGTTAGCATTATTATCTTTTTAAATGGATCATACTATTATTTGAGTTTTTCAATATATTTAGTTTTGCTAAAGTTTTCTTTGTTGTCGTTGTTTTTTTTTTTTCTTCAAATATTTGTTTGAATTATAGATTTTCTAATTTTCTAAAAGAAAAGTTTCTTACCGTCCTTCAGTTCAGAGCCAAAGATAAGAACCTTGCAGTTTGCCGTTTTAATGCTATGGATTAAAACCTCCTGTCGAAGATTAGTGTTGATGAGAGCACCAACGAAGCCAGCTTTGCTCAGACCCAACCAAGTTCCAATGTATTCCGGACGACCTTCCATAGCTAGAGCTACGCTATCCCCCCGTGAAAGTGGTCGCATGCGAAAATAACGTCCTATTCTGTTGCTGAATTCTTCGAGCTGTAATGTAATGAAAAAAAAAAAAAAAAAAAAAAAAAAAAGAAAAACAAAAAGAAATAAAGAAAAAGAAAAGAATTTTTTTCAAAAGATAATGTTTCATCGTAATCTGATTTTGATGTTTATATTGTTGATATTTTATTAATAATAAACGTGTAATTAAAAAAAAAAAAAAGAAGTAAATCATCAAGACAAATTAAATATAATATTTGCGAAACATTTCAATTTATAAAATATTAAATCCGTACCTGTTGATAAGTCCATTCTTTATCCTCGGAAATATATGCTACTTTTTCAGGATGACGTTCAACCAATCTTGAGAATACCCTAGCCACTGTAAATCCTCGTGTTTCCCACCACCATAAAAGTATGTTCACTTGTATGAATCTAATGGCTCCTCTGTACAAAGAAAAAAAAAGAAGAGAGAAAAGAAATAATAACACATTTACATATATAAAATTAATGTTAACTCATCTTACATATATAAATGATAATAATATTCAGATACAATTTTTAAAACATATTAAATCAAACGAATATTATTAATCTTAGATTAGACAAAGATTAATAATTTTTTTTTTAAGTTTTACTTCATAACACATCGCAAATTTTTGATATCCAATAGTATTTATAATTTCTTATCTCGAAAGGAATATGTCTGCCGATAGAAAACTAGATCACGATCATGGATAATTTCTGGTATCAATTGCATGCATCCTTGATTTCATAAAAGAGACTCTCTATTATGTTCTAAAAAAAATGGGGTGAGAAAACGAGCGAATCACGGTCACGAACACGAGTCCCAGATTGACGAACGATCCTGAATACACGGCTTCGTGCTATCTAGCACGACATCTTATCCTATCGATGTAAATTGATTAATTTCATGAGCACGTGCGTGCATGGCTATCTGTGCGAATGTATGAAAGGTCTCTGATAATTCTTTTTTCTTCTTTTTTTACCGAGATACTTGGACTTTGAAAGGTATATATCCATTTCAAAGAATAAATGTATTCATACATTAAAAAGTTTACATGTGAATTTACATTTGTACACATTTAAACTATTTTTTTACACATCTAAATGTATGTAGTTCTTTTATTTTTTTTTTTTGAATCAATATTTTTACAATTTGAATCAATACTTTATGTTATCAATATAATTAGCTATATATCTTAGCAATAAAATCCATACGCAGGTGCATAATTACTGATGTGTATGTTAAAATGCATAATTCATATGACTGACTACGTTTCTAAAAAAAAAAAATATCAGTTTAGTTTTAGACATAAAAAAAAAAATCGAGATAAATTTAGTTGTCTAATTTTTCTCTTTTTCTTTTCTAATCTATTTTTTTTTTTTTAAATATGTAGGTATGTAGATTTTATTTTTTTCTCTATCTTTCTTTCTATCAATAGGTTATAGTAATAGATTCTTTACCAACAACACAACAAAAAAATCTTCGATGAAACCTTCGATTAAAACACTTAATTATCTATATGAATTTTATTTTTAAAAACATTTTTATTGGTTCGTCGAAGGCCGATGATTGAAAAACAATAGAAATATATCTTCACTAACACAAAGAAGTTGATATTATTTTTTTTTTTTAAATCGTGCACACATTATATGTAAAGAATCATTGCAAATTATCCCTAACGATTAAGGCCATCATATGCATTCCATGCTTTTTTAATCCATGCTTTGTTCTACATGGCAAAACTGCTCATTTACTATTCTTCTTGGAACGTTATTATATAACAATATGTTTAATAAAACGAGGAACGTAAAAATAAGAATAAAAATATAAATGTTATTCTGGTTATCACTTCATTACTTTTCACAAAATTCGTCGAATAAAAATCAATGAATCATGTTACTTCAATTTAAATTAATTTAAATTTATAATACAAATAAAAATTTGCTTATTATATTAGTCAAATATTTGTTTTTTTTTCCTCTATACTTCTTGGAAAATTTGTAAAAAGCTAAATTTATTTCGAACATTCTGAATTTTAATAGTGTCCCTGAAAGATTACGCCTTTGTTAGTCAGCTCGTTTCTATCAGTCGACACTAGCCACAGTTCCCCTACCAACTACGTATTCACCATGATTAAATAGAGCCGAATGAAATAACGAAAGACGTAGAGGAGAATAACTTTCATCGTTGAACATCGTTACTTTAAAAAATAGTTATCACGAATATTTACACAGAAACATAGAGAATATTTTGTAAACATTCTTAAAAATAAAATATTAATCACGATCCTTGCGGTTCAAAACAAGTTTTACCCATCTGTAGCAAATTACATCTAACGGAAAGCAATAAAACTATCAATGTCAACTGAACGTGTCCGTACTGAGCATGTGCGCATCTGCAAGTTATAATAAATAATTTATTATAGAGTGTGTATGTGTGTTGTGTATGTGTGTGTGTGTGTGTGTGCATATAAGTGAAAAAGATACGTCTATTATGTTCAAGCTTTTTCAAACAAGATTCAAAAAAAAAGATAATTCTATCCTTTCACTATATTTTCTTGTACGTTCATATTACTCGAAATAATTTAAAAATATCCCCAATTTTCTTTTTCATTTATCCCTATTATCGACCACTAACGATCAGTCCATCCACAGGAAGTAGTTAAATTTTCGATCCACCCTAACGTTTCCATGACAATAAATGGGATCAAAGTCTAATCGCATAACGCATGCGGCCAAGTGATATGACGATCCATCAACTTGTTGCGAATATTTCCGATGATTCCTTTGGAAGAATGGTATTACGTAAATCGATCTGATAATATTTTTAAAACGATTGAAATGTAAAAATTTTATCAATTATATTTCTCATAGATGGACGATATATTGAATATAAATGAAAATACTTATTTATGCGAATGTATAATTTATAAGATTAAATTTATAAAGTGCTATTATAAGTATCAGCTATTAGATTTTAGATTTAAATATTGATAACATATTTCGTCCAATTGGACTTATAAAATATAGATAACCCCAAAACAATGGATTTTAATGTAGAATATCATAATGTAGATTATATTAATTAACTTTCGATCATAATCTGATTTATATTTTTTTGCAAGCACACCAGTGATATTTAGATTGTTGTACATTTTTTGATAACTCGTGATAAAAAGAAAAGTATCGTACGATAGAAGTTAGCCATTGACGATTGCCCAAGCATTTATCATGCTCGTTAGCAAATAATCGTTAGTCACACAAGAAGACTCAACACTTAGTCAATCTGCCTCACTTACTGCTCGTTCGTTAATATCAACGTGCGTCGATAGGGACTATACTTTACTGACAGTAAAAGACATGCCGGGCATACCTTAACAACTTAAGTTTTTTTTTGATCACGAAAATTCCCCCAAAAAAAGCGAAACAAACAATCAAAATATAAAAATATCTATAAGACAATTTGATTTCAATACCGATGGCATACTTATATAATATAAGAAGAATAACTTATTATAATATAGTATTACATTTTTAAACATATAATAAAAAGAAATAGATAGAGGATATAGATACTGGTTTAAGTTTACTTGTACATTAACTGTTTAAATATTAAAATATATAATAAATTTTAAGTACTTATTTAGCATACACCTGATACAAAAATATACAGCAAATGATAACGAGAAGATAAAAATGAAATTATAACGAATAATATAGTATGAAAATCCATCTTATTATAGCAAACAATTTTCAAAAATTAATATAATTATTACTTCATTTGATTATACGCATTATGATGAGATTTGAGTTCGTACCAAAAATGTAATAGCTTGACATTATGATTAGATCTATAGAAGTTCGACTATGATCGATTGACCTTAGATACATATATAATATATTCGATAGATTTTATATGTGCATCTAGGACCAGTACCATCTCCAGCATAATAATTAAACTCAATGACCCCGACTTTATTGGGGTCAAGTGAGTTGCAACGAACTTCGTCAGTTCGGTCTATCCGTACTAGTGACCCTTTCCTTACCAGTTACTGTTATATAAGACTTTCACACGTTTCAAAGAAATCATATTTTCATAATGAATATGGAAAATGATTAATGATACGATGAGTAATAAAATAATGAATAATAAAACAATAAAAATGATAAACAATAATGAGGAAAGATATTAACAATATTCATTAAAAATAAAAAAATAAAAATATTGAATATTTTGCTACATCTAATAATATATATAATTAAGGCTAAGAAAAAGAAAAAAGAGTAATAACATATGAATTAAATTTAAATATTAACATACTTTGAAAAATTGTAATATTTATATAATCAATCTAAATATTTAAAAGTTTGCGAAAAAGAAAGAGAAAAAAAAATTAATATAAATTGTAAATTCTAAATACAATATTTACGTAATTACAAGCCAAAGTTTTATTACTATCACAAACACACACACACACACAAGTTATAAATTCACAATTTTAATGTAAGAATATTTCTAAAAAATTAAGAAGAAGAAAAAAGAAATAAAATCTTCAAATTGAAATCCTTGGATTATTTTTTTGTTAGAACGATTCAAATAATATATAAATATATATACTAACAATTACACTTTCGTATTACATTAATAATTATATATTAAACTTATAAATTTATTAAAAATATCTTTTCTCTTTTACCTATATATACATACCGAATTTTTTTTAAGTAAATATAACCGTTATTTATAAATAACAAACATATTAGTTATATGATGATATTATATATTCTGCTTATATTAAATACGGACACTTCGGTAGCACAACACAAAAGTAGAAATTATCACGGTCCATTGATCACGTGAGTAACGTTTTTATCTAAGCTATATTTAGAACTATATGCATACAATGGAGCGTGCAATTAATGTCTCGTATCGAACTATTATTAGATGATTGATAAAACAATCGTCTTAAATCAATACTTTATAATTTATACATAAATATATAAGCAATAATTGTAAGAAAAATATTATAATGTTAAATTTCTTAATTTACGAAACTTTTTTCGTAAATTAAGAAATTTAATTAAAAAACAATCTTATATTTTTGTAGATAAATATAATAATTAATTACGAAGAAAAGTTATTTTATATAACGAATATTTTTTATATGATTAATAAGATTTTGATTGATGGAAAAAAAAAATGTAGAAAATATGTTATAAGTTTGTAAAATAATCGAAAAAAATGAACTATTGATTTCTTTATATCAAGTTTCACATATTCATCGAACCTCTTCTTCCTTTAGAGATATTCGACCTATTCAATGTACATATATACGTACATACATATATATATATATATATATACATACATACATACATGCATACATACACACTTGCAGTAATTAATGTTTCCGTAATATTTTCACAATTTTCAGATATTGTCTTCAATCGTTTATACGTAAATATTCGAATGCGAAACCAGTTACGGCACGATTGTACATAAATGAATCAGTATATATAAATAAACAGAACAGGCCATTTTAATTAAAAAATATGTTCTAAAGGTTGTCCTCTAGAAAAAAAAAAGTACCAAGCTCATATTAATTAATTTCGATTGAAATGATTGGTATATTATTATTCATACGATTGAAATGTATAAAGAGAAAAATTTGAGAAATCAAGGACCATTAATAATCACCAAAAATATAATGATCAATAAAAACAAAATAATAATTAATTCATATGTATAGAATACGTCGAATTCAAACAATGAAAATAAAAAATTTGAAACGTTTGCGCATTTGAAATATTCAAAAAAAAAAAAAAAGAAAAAAAAAAAAAAGAAAAAAAAAAAAGAAAAAAAAGTATAATTTTTGCAAATAATAATATATGTCATTACAATAATAAACTAGCTATTACAAACATATACTATAGGAAAATGCTTGAGAAAAAGGAAATCGAGGAATATCGAGTAAATGAATAAAAGAGGTAAAGGTAGAAAGAGAAACAAAGAGGAAGACAGATAGACAGCGGTGGTGGGGAGAGATGAGGAGAGGGGAGGGAAGGGAGGAGAGAGAGAGAGAGAGAGAGAAAGGAAGAGAAATACTCACAAAATATCTCTTGGTAAAGTCTTGTAAAGAACATAGATGAAGCGCCATCGTCCTCCTGTGAGGAAAAAACCTCCAACAACGATGCTCGCCACAGCAATGAGCATCTGTTCAAATCCCGACATGGTTTTGTGCAATCGAACGGCCGTTCTTTCTAAGTTTTCACCTTCAACTGTTCCTTTTTCTTCTCTTTCGATAGATCACAACGCTCTACGGCGCATGCAAGCGTTTGAGAATCAAAAACGCTCTCTTGTGTACTTTTGATTTTTCACGTGATATTTAAAATGATAATAAACAATTAAAACAAAAAGCAAAGAAAAAGAAAAATAAAAACTACACAATGTTGTCACGGGAACGCACACGTTTTAGAAAAGATCAAAATATTTCGAATATTATGTATGTATATATATATGTATGTATATATATATATATTTTTTTTTTCTTTTTTTAATTAATAAAGAATTAATCGGATCGTTCGATGCGATGATTATTTGTTTTAACAGTTTTACTTCTTTTTTCTTTTTATTTTAAACTCGACTGGCAAGAATTATCACGAACACACGCGAGTCAACCGCCAGCTGAGCGACGACTAAACTCACACGTTCACAAGTAACATCCACGCATCTATCTCTCTTTCTCTCTTACTCTTTCTTTCTCCTACTCTTTCTTTCGGCTTCACCACTCACATACGACGTAAGTGCCCATCATAGCAGGATATTGCCGTAACCGACCTCGTCGAAAAGAATGCCATTTTTTAGCACTCTGCTGATTAATTCTCATCATTCCCGTTCAAAGATCTCTTCTTTGACAGTCGAATCTATGCACGACTTTGCTTTATACACTTTTTGTTTTTGTTTCGTCTTTTTTCTTTCCTTTTTTTTTTTTTTTTTTTATATCTCGTTATAAGAACAAAGAGATCATTGACCAATGTTATAATCATTATAAATTTATTTTAAATGCAATCGGTACAAATTTATTTTAAATGCAATAAAGAATTATTATTAAAAAATAAAAGGAAAAAAGAAGAAAGAAAAATTTTTTTATCTATATATGTTCACTATCATATCTTAAACGATAACATTAAGATAATATCGTTTCTATTAAAAATTTTGTTGTTAAGACAAAGATATTTAAAAAAGAAATGACATTAATCAAAGTATAATTTCTTTATCTTCATCTTTATAACGAAAACAAAGTGTAACGATTTAATTATAACGAATTTGAAATTTTTTTTCTATACTTTATCGTAATACGACTTTATTTTAACGACGAAGATATTTTATACCATTTAACAAATATATAAAATATATAGGTATATAGATATATATATATATATATATATATATATATATACACAAGGTTATAATTAAATTACGCACAAATAATTCCGCGAAAAAAGGTACAAAGACAAGGTCTGTGCTTGTGACATCGACTGTGATCTCTCGTTGTTGAAGATATTGAGGTCACGTATACTTGATAATAATGGATACTGCAAAGAAAAAAATTGATATAAAAATAAATAAATCACAATAGTATCCAGAAGAGTCTACAAAATAAACATGCCAATATTGAAAATATTTGAAAAGACAAGCATAGAAGCGTATATTAACAAAGAATAGCGTTTCGTGGGATAAAAAAGGGTTATTGAAAAAAAAAAAAAAAAATCGATTTTTCGTTTAAAATAATGATAAAACTAATCTATCTTTCGTATTAATATTAAAATCCATTTCTATCGATATGAGCCTGTAAATCATGAGCTTTAGATAATGAATATGAAGAAAAAGAGATAAGTTAAACACGCATGTACCTTCATTTCTGAAGAACAGAATACCACTCTATAGGACGTTTGCTATCTGAGAACCAGGTAAAGCGCCAAGATGTCCAAAACTGAAAATGATACGCGGGAAAAGGATCCAATGAGTGATATTCAATAAGAATGAAAGAGAGCAATAGAAAAGGATCAAACAGGCGTTTTTCTTCTTTAGAAAAAGTAAAAGAAAAAGGAACTAAATAAGAAACGATGAAGTATTAATCTAAGAAGTGCAACATGTAGGATAATACAAAAAAAAAAATAGTACTAGCCATGCTAATAATAGGATTTGTTAACACAATGTGCAAACTTGCATGTTTATACCAAGAAAGAAGTTTACATTAAACGAATAAGAACCATGCAATCCATAATTTTCTATTAATTAGCAAAAGCATATCAGTCGTACCAACGATAAAGAGAACGATCGTCAATGTAACACTGACAATAATAATCCGTGATTTCACGTTTTGTAACCATGCCCTTCGTTGTGCTTTCTTTGCTGCTTCTCTAAATTGACTACCAGCCATAGACAATCGATCACTTGCATCTTGTAGATCCTCTAATCTCTCTCCACGTTCCATGACTTTCTTCACGTTATCTCGCATCACATCTGTCACCTCTTGAATTTGGATTCTGATGCTAAGCAATATAAAATATATTTGTATAAAGTATATTTGTATAACTTCTATGATAAATTACTTAAGCATATGCATGACTTATTTTTTCCAATTCTATACTCTTAAAAGATTTCTTTACAATTTAAATAATAAAAATAAGATATATATATATATATATTTACCTATCCATTTTTCCATCGGCTCTGCTTATTCCATTTGACGTACTGGGACGGCTGAAATCATATGTCAGACATGATGGGTGGATAAAAGGCATATCTTAAGTCTTCAACATTTTCATGATCTTAATGAACCTCCACTGATGAGAGATGATATATCAAGCAGTTTTTTCATTGCTGTATTACAAAATAATATTAAATTGATATACAACGATTGATATACAACAACAAAAAATAACCAAGATTGCTGAAATAATTTCATTATTGGAATATTATATTATTCATAAAATATCCAAACGACTTACTTAAATATCATATCTTCATCGGGCTCACTATCATGTTCCAAGAGGGTTTCCTAAAAACAAATGTTTCATACGAATATCAGGTTCCCGCCATGATCTTCATTAAAATTCGTGATGTATTATTTGAAACACCATACGTCAAAAAGCATGCTCACTTTTTCGTCCTTATCCGCAGATCTTATATCCTCTCTAGATAGATTACTTTTGCTGATGGTAGCCATGATTCTTAAATAATTTATCAAACCTTTTCCAATATAGATATAACTATGACGAACTTTTAAAAACGAATGAAATTTCCACGTTACACTTTTTGTCGAACGTATACACAGCCATATTGTTTAACTTTGGCTACATTTTATCGACTTGAGCTCAAGTTTGTTTCACAAAGTGACCGATAGATGGTACTACCGATGATCAGTGTCGAACGTGATCGATCGATTGAAACGAATAGCGCGAGACTTACCGATATCTATCGATCGTTTAAAAAATAATTGTATTATAATTATCGTAATTATTTCTATAATATCTTTTCTTCTTTTTTTTTTGTTTTTTTCTTTTATATTCATTTGAAAAAAACTTTTATATATGTATATATATATATATATATATATATTTTCAAAAAAATCTTAAAAGTTATATTACGTCGGTTACTTGATAATTAAATATAAAAGCTATATAGGTTTTAGGATAACTTTCGAAAAAATAAAGTTGATTAAAAGAAGTATTCTTCGAGAAATCAAAAACTGACCGCTACGGTCTGACGTTTTCAACCTAAACAAAGAACCGACGGCTCGATCCGACAGTTGACGTTTGAAATTGCATGCTCCTTTATTCCGAGATAGGTCGGTTATTGTGTTGGTTGCGTATACCGAGGGAAAAAGAAATGCTTGGGAAAGTTGGAAGCGTATAGAAAACGATTAAATGGAAGGAAAAACTGTTTAAAAAAGAAACGATAATGTACAAATGTGTTACGATTAAATTGAGATTTGAGACAGGAATGAAGGATTATGCAAGAAGAAGAAAAAAGAAGTACATTACAAAAAAAAAAAAAAAAAAAAAAAAGAGAAAAAAATAAAATAAAAAAAAATAAAAGAGAAAGAGAGAGAGAGATAGAGGGAGATAGAGAGAAGATTGCGAAATAAAATGTTACGAAACGATCTCGAGATAAAAGTAAATAAATAATAGAAATTTATTGCAATAAAATAAAGAAAAACAACAAAAGAGATGAACGTATGTATGGTGGTTACAAGAGAAAGGACCCATCAGGAGAGAGTTTCGAAATTTATTACTACATTTCGCGCATGAGAAGAGTCTACTTAATCACAATAGCTTTTTCTAGTCCTTTATAAATCCGTTCGCTCTTATAGCATTTCATCCTCGTAGCTTCTCTTGTAAGGTCTAGGCCAATATCAAAATAGGATGTTCGAAAAGGCACCTTTTTTTAGGAATAAAGGAAAAGAATGATCGAAAAGGATATCTTGAAAATGGACGATGGCGATCAAATACTATCCAAAGTCAATACTTTTCGATAGGGAAACCGTATCATGTTTTCTTGGTTAATAGTGAATGATAACATAAAATTCTTTCGCATGAACGAAACGTATCCATTTTCATTTGACGATAGTACACGAAGACAAAAATCGATGGCTGGTATTTTTTCTATTTTCGAAGTCGTTAATACTTCTTTTTTTTTTTTTTTGCGAAGTGAGAGCGAAACGCTCGTAATTCCTTGTTGTAATATGACGATAATCCAGTTTTGTTAAATCGTAACTGTTACGTTACGACCTCGCTCTTGAGAGACGCCGACGTGAATCTTATTTGTTTGTTCTTTTTTTTCTTCTCTTTTTAAAACACCCACAGACAAACGTACTTACAGATACATGTTAATAAAAAATGACTTTTGGCATATTGCTTTTTATTTTTGTCGACATAAACACCTAAATTCTCCTTACAGACAGTCGATACAACACGAACGATAAAAAAATAACTTGATTGTCGTATTCAAGAGAGACAAAGAACCGTATGCGTTAGTGACGAAGATATTATGTTATATGTATATATATTTATATTTTTTTTCACATATTCTTTTCTCCTTTTCTTGTATCAAAGATAAGATGCACAACTATCGAGAGACCGCTTTTCATGATGCCCGTGTTTCTTTCTTTTTACTTTGCATAATTACGTCTCATTTATATCATTGATCGATTATGACATTTTTAAATGTAATTCCGAAAAAAAAGACAATATCATTCGTCTATGCGTTTTTTAATTTCCGTCTTTTTCTTTTTCTTCCTTTTTTTTCTTTTTCCTTTTCTTTTTTTTTTTTTTTTTGATCAGACAAAGAACTGTAATTATTTTTTTTTATGTTAGGACGACGTTTGAAGCGGTCCATTGCTAATGTGCTTTTTTTTTATTAATATAAACAAGAGATTACATAGAAAAATATATCAGTCTAACAGCTCCCAAAGTATAAGTGATCCTTCGGCTTAATTTGTATCGTATGGCGAACCATAATTGTGCGAACGAGACACTCTTTGTAATTTTCTTGACTTTTTTTTCCGTCCTTCTTTTTTTTTTTATTTTTCAATTTATATAATACGAAGAAAGGAATGAAATAAGACGGATATTTATATAAAATTTACTATTATCTCGTAATTGTGGAAGAATCGATAATTGAGTAATAGACGAAATATTACGAAGTTGCTACGTTCGAGCACATATTACGTTATGTTCTGTCATATAAACGCGAATAATACGTGATAATTACGTTTGTCTAATCGTTACGCCTATTGTTGCACGATTGCACGATATTATAACAGCTCTTGGATCAGAACTGTATACGAACGTTATACACATACACACATACATACAAACATACACATATTGATGTACCATATATATATATATATATATATATATATATATATATATATATATATACATATATATATACACACATACATACGCGAATATTCTCTCGCTCTCTGTTTGTGCTTACTAAGCAATGATGATTTCATTGAAATACCTGTTACTATAATATTCTAACGATTTTCTCCTTTTATTATCATCACCGAGAAAATTCTAATTCACGCGGCTTGCATACTAAATATCTCTCTTATTCTGAAAGGAACAAGGCGAAACGAAGATATTCGCTTGAATGTTACGTTTCGTTGAGTAGTAAAAATGATAATGGTAACGACGATACCGAACGATATAACTACGTCTATCTCTATTCTCTTATCGATCCGATTAAAATAAAAATCAAATTGAAAAAAGTCTGACAAATAAATTTACATGCATGCTTTTTTCTTCCTCTTCTTTTTTTTCTCTTTTCTTTTCTTTTCTATTTTTTTTTATTTATTTATTTATTTTTTTTAAAAATCTTTTTTCTGATCCTTTCCTTTAGATCTAATAGTAAATATATATTTAGATCTTATCAATGCGTTCACATTTTTATCATTACGAGCAATGTTACCGATATCATTTCAATTTATACGAAGAGAGACGAAACGGTATATATATTCTATTAAAGAAATGAAAAATTTAGCGAAAGATCTTTTGTGCATTTTTTTCCCTCTTTTTGTTTTTTATGTATATATATATATATGTATATGTATTTTTTTTTTTTTTAATAATAAATAATTTGGATCGTTGACTATTTGTTTATTACTAATGTCAAGAATTATCAACAATAGAGATGAGAATTTTGTTAGGTTTATAAATAAGAAATGTTTAATTTTAACTTCGAATTTACTTGCAAATATAATTATCCTAATTTTGAGTTTACGTTAATTTGTATACGCTAATCTACAGAATGCCTCGTTAAATGCACGTACGTACATACCATATTATTATTATTATATTATTATTATTATATTATTATTATTATTATTAATATTATTATTAATATTATTATTATTATTAATATTAATATTATTATTAATATTATTATTATTATTATTATTATTATTATTATTATTATTATTATTATTATTATTAATATTATTATCACTATTATATTAAATCACGAAGTGCGAAGACGACCAGCGCCACATTTTGAGGGACGAATCCAGCGTCCAATCGATTGATAAATCGAGTCCGAGTTTCTCCAGTCGCGGCAGTCTGACAAAATTTCGTCGCAGTTAGAAATACGTTATTATAAACACCACGTAAATTTTACGATAATTATTGCTAAATGATTTTCTTGCGAAAATCGTATAAAAAATTACTTTATACATAGGACAAGATTATTATCATCTTGACGAAAGGGGATTATGAATAAGAAGAAATATATTTGTTTTCCATGAAAAAGAGGAAAAATCTTAAAGAAACGTGAAAATATTGATTGTCCTCTGTTATAATTTTGTTATAATTTTGATTTAACTTAAGAAACTCGATTTAATTTACATACACATATTTAAATATTACGTACATCGAAACTTTAAATTTATTCACTACGGGAAGATATGCATCGGGAAATATTTATATTTACTGAACATTTCGTTCATAAAATACATCGGCAATAATGATATGTTATATGATATAAATATATTAAAAATAGAAAAAAAAATATAATAATAATAATAAAAATAAAAATAAAAATAAAAATAAGAATAAAAATAAACTAAAAGAGATAATAAACTTTCTGGAACAACATAAAAAGAATATCTTAATACTGTTACTTTTCAATGTGATTTATATTATCGAACAAATTCTCATTAAAATATTTACATGTACGGGCGTTCGATAAAACGCAAATAGGAAGATAAATGTTGAAATCGAAATGAATATTCATAATGAGAAAGGAAGAAAGAGAGAAAGAGAGAGAGAGAGAGAGAGAGAGAGAGAGAGAGAAAGAGAGAGAGATAGATAGATAGATAGATAAATAGATAGAGAGAGAGAGAGAGGAGTAGTGACAAAAAGGACACGTGTCGCTAATTAGCATCTAATAAATAATCAAATCGCTGCATTGCAGACATATGGCAGGCCAAATTAACCGGCTCAGCCATTCGTGTTACGTTCGAAGGAAGAATTTCTAGGACCATCCATCTTAATTCTAATTTAGGTACCGCTTCAATGTACGCATACACATACAGAGAGAGAGAGAGAGAGAGAGAGAGAGACATACACGATCATGCTTAAAATTCAGAATGATGAGTGCAGCTCGTATATTCCAACATCGAGATCAAATTAAATTTGATAGATAAATATATAGATAGATAGATAGATACATGCATACGTAAATACATACATATACGTAACGTATGTACTTACATACATACACAATCGGCTAGTCGACGACTGCGAATTTTTTGAATAATTATATCACTATAATCATTCTCGTTATTTCAAAACTTAAAATAAGAAATA